ATGCATGTCATAGATTGACCATAGAAAGAAAGACTTATACGATCACCGTCTCGACTGATGATCAACTAAGGCGTGGGCCTAAAAGTGGAGCTGACCATTGCGGTGGAGCCAAAAGCTTTTTGACCAACAACCTCGCGATCCACACAACGATGAAAAGAATTTCCTTTTTACAAAATTTTGAATAATAATTGACAAAAGCAAAAAGAGAAGCCGAACGCGGGGGTCGAACCCGCAACCTTGAGATTAAGAGTCTCACGCTCTACCGATTGAGCTAGCCCGGCTGGCTTCTTGAAGACCTGCTCCATTATATTACTTTATAAAGCGAAACAAAGGCTAAGTTCTCTCCCATGCGAGTTACGACAGGACAGTCGCGGCAGTCGTATTGTGCACCTGACACTCTATCAAGAACTATGAGAGATGTCTCTTCAGTCTTCGCCAATTTTAGCATATCCAATCCGGTGAAGACATGCAAGACATCGTGAGTCTGCTCAAACATATCGAATCGCCAAGCAGTGGTAGAGATAAATATAGAGCCGACGCTCTGAATGTCTCTTCCCACATGTTTCATTGGACGAGAACGATCTGGATTCTGAAGCACTGGTACAAACTTGCGACATTTCGCGATGTCCGCGCCTATTCCAAGGCGAATCGCGCGATGTAGTCGACAAGTGCGGCCCACGGTAAGGAGAATTTTCGCTGCAATGGCGACTGTTTCGAAAACCTCTCAACGCTCAGTCCAAACATAGTTTCAGAGAATTCAGAAGCCTAGAATGGGGATTGCCAGGCAGCACATAATCAGAACTGGCCATTTGTTGCCGAGACTTGAGCTCGTGTTGGACGCTTGGCTGTCAAATTGTGGCTGAAGTATGATAAACAGGGAAGAGAAGTACGAAGAATCCACATATCTCAGACTGAGAGTAGTCTCTGTGGCTTGAGGCTGAACAGCAACAATGGTCATTAGCGTCAGAAGTCGAGACGATTGAAGAGGAAGATTGAGGCTGAGAGCCTGAGGCAGTGCGACCCCTGAGGCTCGAGCGCATAATCGCGACGATCGTCCCGGCCAGCAAGGAACAGAACTCCCATTCGATGCATATTCTGAAACCCAAATAGCATCACTGTACATTATCAAAGACCAGAGGCACGGTATAGGCTACCAGTATAATGGTCTAAAACCGTACCGCGTCTCAGGAATTATTCCCGATCTAGAGGGCGGTTGCACCGCGTCAACCTGTCGCAGGGCGGGCGAAGGAAGACCAACAATTCCAAGTTAACAAGATCCAAGAGCCCATAGCGGGGATATTGATTGGATGGTAGGCGATAAAATCTACGGTCATGATGGTACCATTTCAAGGAGTAAACAGAACGAAAGTCAACAATGATGGTAGTGGTTGCAGTTGAGAGGAATGGTGTCGCTCTAAGGGGGGATGAGCCGTAGGAACACGAGAGCGTCAAGCCACAGTTGGACAAGCCACTTCGCAGAGTTCACACTCCAGCTGAAAATCTGACATTTCCCTGTTGTGATCCTGACTCGAATCCTTCCCGAATCCCGAATAGGTAACCGACAAGGATCGCTATGAGTAAACCAGGACTGGAGTACTCTGGACATCTCTAAAGTCAGTTAGATGGACTGCAAGCATGCAAATATCTGCATATCACTTGTACCTTTTTGTGCAGCATCCACACCAGATGGAGTCATAAACCATGACAGATGACGGACTAGACCGTAGTGGACATGGGGAGTAGTGATCCTGGAGCCATCCCTGGATGGTCTCAAAGGGGGGTTTGACCGCCAGTTACGGCATTTAGGCCAATCACAAGACCAGGAATCAACCAACAAGCAGAAATTGTGGCCGACAGTGTTGCAGCAGACGCCCTTTTCCTGGCCAGAATTAAAAACAGAGGCTAAAAGCACTGCCTGCATGCACCAGCCACAGCAGACTGGCCATTCGCAGCGTTTTGCGGGAGCCTGAGGACTCCATCGAGTCATCCGCCCCAGGCAAACACCAGGCACTAAGAGTGGAACGGGAATAGCATCATCTGCCAGGCCAGGCTGCCGTGCACACCCTCCCGCTCTCCACCCTCCCACTGTTCCACAGCCCACAAGGCGTTTTTTCTGAACATCCGCTTGTGACCAATGCCGTCATCCTATCTTTAGACCGATCGACTCCACCACTAGACCCTTTTTTGTTAGTCGCAGTCTTATATACTCTGCTTTGGACGATGGATGCCTTCTCTTCCAGGTGACTATATATCACCTCAATCTCCCTCCTCTCATTCGATATTTTTTTTTGTCTGTCACTACCTCTATCATCGCTTTACTTTCGCATTTTATAATATCTTCTGCCATCTACCAACTGCTATTATTTCTTTAACGCTTCTCTGAATCGCATCAAGATCTACCAGCAAGAGAGCTCCAAGCAATCAATCAGCCTCACTCCCTGCTTCACCCACAGCAGTCACGGTGTCGCCCTACGACTCGTCGCGTCGTCTCTTCCACCCACCGTCTCTCTTGTCGTCCCTACGTGAACGAATCCTCATCAGAAGAATCTCAACTCGCAGAGCTGTCCGCCCTCGTCGATCATACACCATGCCCGCCTTGATCGAGAGCCCCGAGCCCATCGCGCCCGTGCTGCGCGTCCGCGAGCTCGAAGATGACGAGGAGTACGTCATGACCGCATTCGAGCGCCATGCCAGCCACTGCTCGCAATGCGCGGAGCCCCTGCGTGTCCACCAGGAGGGCCGTTCCCTCTGTGACCGTGGTCATCAGTACGCCCTCGACGTAGCCGAGTACCTCTACAGTGAGAACGGCAAGGCCAAGTCCGTCATCGACCGCGAGTTGAGCCAGCCCACACTGGTCAAGATCCCTCGGGACTGCGTCGCTGTCCGGGGCCTCCTCCTCGCGATCGAGGATGGCATGCGTCTGCAGCGCAAGGAGCAGGAAAAGGCTCAGACTCAGACCCAAGCCCGAGTTCAGGTTGTGGCCCCTATCATCAGCTACGATCGCACATACCCCATCGCGCCTCGCCAGGCAAACACACAGCAACCCGTTGCTGTCAACGAGATCATCGAGCGTGAGCCCCGCACCCTCAAGCGTCGCCGTGTGATCGTCTACCAATCTCCACGAGGTTCGTCCCGCGGCTCCCTGTACGACTCGGATGCGGCAGACCGCGTGGAACGCTCCAAGGAATCTCCTTCGCGCATCTACCGACCAACTGGATACTATCGTTGAAATATTATAAATTGTTCCTGAATGCGCTTTCAATAACAACAATGCCTTAAATCCTCTGTGCCACGCCAGACACGAAGACGAGTCAAGGACGCCCCAAGTCCGCCGTCGCTGAGCGTTAGGGACCGGCAGTGCCGACTCGCTGTCACCGGCACAGATTCGTTTCTTCCTGCTTGTGCTGGCATTCATGCAAGCTTGCAACGCCTTTCCATGATTGGCTTTTCCATATTTGACCTGGAATTCTGCGAAGCTGTTTGAACTGCCTTACGCTGTGGATTTCGATTCTCTACAAGAACGGAACTATTGCTCTTGCATCATAGCCAGAAATCATGAAAAAAAAAAAAAAGGAAAACCGGAAAGCTGAGGATGTATCCTCCCCACGTTTCCTGTCCTCAATTCGAGGACTCGCAGGGCCGACTGCAAGTTTTGTGACTCAGACTTGAGCTCCTGCAAGCTGTCTTCATCGAGTCATTCCATTCGTTCGCACAGTCTGCTCAAATGCAAGCCATTAGTATTGGCAATGATCATTGGACATGTACTTAGTCTGTTTCCTTTGTACCAAATGCAAGCGAATTCGCTTTGCGTCTACTTCCATCATCCAATAAAGTAAAGTAGACCTCCTGACAATTCTTGAAGATTACTCGGACAAGTACCTAGATTCAAGTGTGAGTCATTAAGATCAGGAAATTTACTGGTGGGTATGGTCATGCTGCTCATGCATTAGCATGGAGTTTGTGTTAGGAACTGCCACCTTGCTGCTTACCCCGCTGGGTTGAGTGCAGCTGTGCAGCGCACTACACATGCACATGTAGAGTACCACAACCTTATTATATGAGATTATGAGTCCATCATGATCCATGAGGCCAGAAACTGTTTTGAAGTGCAGGTTTTATCCCATCCAAAGACACAGAACATATCCCAGTGGAAGTAGATGTGCCAACCAGAATATGCCTATCATTTCTACTATGCTATAAATGGTCGTGTAGACACCTTTTTGGCGTAGTGGATTTGATGGCTGACAAGATGCCTCAGGCTTTATCAATACCTAGATCCAGGACAATATCGTACAAAGAATGAGCATTTACACTATGCACAGTTAAAATTCGCTAAAGAGACATTCAGAGGCATACCTTAAATTCGATAGATATCTCCTACGTAATACCTGCTGTATCCGAGAAAACGGATCTCGACAAACTACCAGTCATCTTTATCCTCAACGAGAAGCTGACGAGTTCTGAAATCCTGATCAAAGGTCATTACACCGTTCATCTGACGAAGGCGTGCCAATACTCATTCACATTAGACTTGAACAGTCGATTAACAAGTAGAAGGCAAATATATCTCTTGAGGATTGATGAGGGAATAACAGTCGATGCATACATCACAGACGATGATTTCAGATCCACGGTCTGTTGCAGTCTGAATATGGGTTCCCTGCACGTGCAAGACGTCAAAGTGATTCCTTCATTTACCGACAACTGCCCCCCCAGTCTTCAACACCAGTCCACCACTGATAAATCTCTCACAACGCAAAATTTCGCCAACGATGGGGAAGCTCAAAGCCCTTATCTGTGGACGCAGGACTGCAGACTCTGATCCAGGATCGTCAGATACAGAGATACCCGAGAAAAGTCCAAATATGCTAAAAACTCCTTCAAGTGAGGATGTAGAGATCCTCAAAACCAGACGTTTCCCATTCGATAGTATTGCGTATCTTTTCGGGCTGCGGTACGTCACCGGTGCAGACGAGAGAAAGATATGGTGTTCTGATATAATGGAGGCACCAGATTTCCTAAGTAGGTCACTCTGAATTTACTATTTGCTTCCTCATGAATACTAATATGTATAGCGAACGTGGTTGACGCACTTGCGTGTCTGCGGTGGAGAAATACACCGCTTACGCGTGCTTACCTCTGGACAGTCGAAGGGCCTTTAGCAGACGCAAAGCTAAAGGTCCTCTTGACTTCGGTTATTGCACTTGAAGCTGGGATGACAGTAGTTCCACGGGAAAAGTTTTACAAAGAGGAGCCCCCAATCGTACTACGCCCTAAAGTCGGTATAACGGTCGACGTGCAATGCCATGGCAGACCTCGGAGACTAAAGATTCGCGCTCCTTGGACTATCTGGCATGGTGATGAGGAAGATGCAGGGGTAAGCATCGTTATATTTCAAACTGAGGTGGGCTATAACGCAGAGGCAGAAAGCTGCTGTTTGGCATACATGGGTAAGCAGCATACTGGGCTTGTCTATTAAACCTAAAGACTGATAAAAATGATAGGAGCAATACACAGAGCCCGAAAGGCCATCCACCAAGATGCATGCATCTACGGCATTGCTACGGATGGTCAACACTGGATTTTTATCCGGATCGACAATGAGTCCAAGGTAATTTAATTCAAAAAGATATTTTAATCCCATCTAACGGCGCGGCAACAGTTTTCAATTGGATACAACAACCACGCTTTAGACCAAGTGTATACGATTCTAAGAACCATGGTGCGTCATGCGATGCACTTGGCGTCGCAGAGAGTGGCCGCATCGACCACTGAAAAATTGCCTTCCTCTATTCGATTCTATGATCCCTACAAGAAGACGCCGCCTGAGCCGGACATTGATACTGATACTGATACTGATACTGAGTCTGAGTTTGAGTTTGAGTGAATAGATTCTGAAATGTTTCATGGAATCTTGGCTATTTTGTTGTTATTGCTTGATTATGCACTCCGTCTTTCCTCATACCCTAGCTCAATTGAATTCTGTAAAGATATAGTACCACTAGGCTAGAAGATGTCCGGACAATTTCTCGTCGGTCTAGGGTTTCATATCCATAATCATAGTGGTATAATATTTTGCCCAATTCTCAACCAGAATGCTTTCTTCAACGAGTGTCTTGAAGAAGACGTCGAAATTGAAGTAAATGCTTTCTGCAGAGAATCTGTGGGTTGGCGTTTGGATGTAGTAGGCGTAGGATCATACGCCGCGCGAAGGTTGAGCAGATGTATGAAAAGATTTTCGAATTCCAGGCCGTCCTATCACTTATTAGTCAAGTAATTACTTGCTATAGCCGAAGCAACTCACTCACGAATCATACACCACACATTTCAGTTTCCCAAGCCGACGACGCATCGTATGGACAATGGCTTTATCACATGCATTAGTAACAAGAATTTCCTCAGTATGAGTAGGACCTTACCTACCCATATATCCGGGCAACTGATGGGTCCCGTCCCCACAGCCCCTAGGCGTTTTTCTTCATACGACCAAATTCGTACTGATATCACTCGGGTCGCCGTACCAGAAGTAGTCACCGATGGTGATGTATGCTCTCTTTCATTGTGCAATTGTACCAACTGAAAGGATGGTCGAAGCCTGGTCTTGCTTCGCCAGACGCCATTCGTCCAAGATCCGATTAGCCATTGCTTGAGTGGCGCGCATGGGTTACCACAAAGGATATACTATTCAGCGAAGTATACCTTCGATCGGCATTGCCCGTAATGGTGATGTGCTCCTCTTCACGGGACAGCGTGATACGCATGTCCCCATCGTGGGTAGATGCTCCCTGATTGTGGGTTAAGACCCCCTAGTCCCTTTCGGACTGGCTCATTGCCGCGCCAGGTACCTGATCTATGAGGGAGCGTGCCATAGCCTCCCCTGGCAAATGTAAGGAACTATCCAAAAATCGTGTATGTGTGTCCCACTAAAAAGTGTTACCATCATGCCAAACTCAATAAGTGTGAACATTTCTTACCTAGATGCTGGGGGACTGGAAGGAAGTTCTGCTCTGGGATCTCCCAGAGTTTGTTAACTTTTGGGGCTTTCGTCGTTGAGCCCGAAGTATCTTCTGACCGTGTTATAGTCTAATGCGGTGACAGGTATCGATCGCTTCGGTTTGTTTGGACGGCTTGAAGCCTCTTTCATCAAGGATGTCACGAAGGGGCTGTTCCACAGCATCTAGGACATGGCCATAAAATGGCAAACCTATCAAAGTCTCTCCTGGCTAGGATGCTTTGTAAGATCAAGATGAGGAGGAAAGAAAAGAATGCAATGGAGAACAGTGCAAGGCAGGAGATGGTAAGGAGAGAAAGGCTGGCTAAGGGGGGGGGTAAGAACTTTCTATATAGTATACTATTGAGCAGTGAATTCTCAGTAAAAGAAGCAGTGAATTATCGGTAAAAGAAGCAGTGAATAAATACAAGGCTATATATTGTGCATGCAAAAGTCATTCACCACCCTAGCCACAATTGACCCCCGAAAGTTGGTCTAATGATCAATGTGCGACGCTTTGCGGTCCTTATACTAAGGTATATGGCCGATATGTTTGGCTGAGTCAGTACGGCGGACTGAATGTACAAAACCAGCCAAAATGTTTTTTTACCATGATTACCTCCCACCACACTGATGCCACTGCTACCACACATACCACCTGCCATCCAGTATGCTTATAGAAAATGAATATTATATTAAATATATAGTAATTATAGTTATTTTAATTTATATCTAAAATATTAATTTAATATCTAGGATTCTAGGGGGTTGAATAGGTAGTAGTTTAGAATTATTCCTAAATTATAGTAGTTATTAAAAGGTTAATATGCATATATATATATCACTATTACTCTTATACTAACCACCGACAGACCAGAGATGTTATTCCCTTATATCTCAGCAACCATAAGATATTGAATATCATCTAGTATTGATATTGAATCAATATCGAATCGATATCAAATGTCATCTAGTAGGGATATCGAATCAATATTGAATGTCATCTAGTAG